TTGCAAAAGCTTGTTGGCTCTGCGATGTGTTTTCCCATTTGAAAGAAATATATACTAAGAGACATGCTTGTGTACACACGCATATATGAGTGTATGCACACATCCACACATATACATGTGTGCACATTTAATTTAATTTTTAAAAATAAAAGTTCACTAGTGCATTGCTTTGTACACCTGAAACTAATAAAAACAATGAAAACAATTTCAATTATAGTTGACATTCAGAATTATATTTAGTTTCAGGTAGCGTGGTGTCTCTAACTTTGTTCTTCTTCCTCAAGGTTGCTGTAGCGATTTGGGGTCTTTTGTAGCTCCATATAAATTTTAGGATTATTTGTTCTAATTCTGTGATTGGACACTTATATAACTTATGAAGTGATCCCCTCAGTTAAGTCTCGTCCCCACCTGGCACCATGCATAGCTGTTGCAACGTTATTGACTATATTCCCTATTCTGTGTTTTATATCCCCGTGACTGTTTTGTAACTGCCAATTTGTACTTCTTAACCCCTTCACCCTTCCCACCAGCCCCACTCCCATCTGGGAACCATCAGTTTGTTCTCTGTTTCTATGAGTTTGCTTCTATCTTATTTGCTCATTTATTTTGCCCTTCAGGTTGCATATATAAGTGAGGTCGTAGTGTATTTGTCTTTCTCAGTCTGACTTATTTTACTTAGCGTTATATCCTCTAGGCCCATCCATGTTGCCCCAAATGGGTAAGATTCCATTCGTCTCTATGGCCGAGCAGCACTCCACTGTATATATGTACCCCATTTTCTCTATCCATCCGTCGATTGAAGGACGCCTAGGCTGCCCCCATATCCCGGCCACCACACAAATAATGCTGCAATGACCATAGGGATGCATATGTCTTTTTGAATTCGTGTTTTGGATTTCTTCAAATAAATACCCAGAAGTGGGACTGCTGGGCCACATGGCAGCTCCATCTTTAATTTTCCGAGGAACCGCCATGTTGTCCCCCACAGTGGCTGCACCAATCTGCAGTCCCACCAACACTGCACGAGGGTTGCCTCCCTCCACATCCTCGCCAACACCCGTTGTTTGTTTGATTTTTTGATGATGGCCGTTCTGACAGGTGTGAGGTGATACCCCACCGTGGCCTCAAGCCACACCTCCCTGATGATCAGTGACACCGAGCATCCCCCCATATGTCCATTCGCCATCTGTGTGTCCCCCTCGGAGAAATGCCCACGCAGGTGCTCTGCCCATCCTTTAATCAGTGTTTGTCTTTTTTGGTGTTACGTTGTGTGAGTTCCCTATACACTCTGGATATTAACGCCCGCTGGTGAATAGCTTCTGATTCAGCAGGTTGTCTCCTAGTTGATGGCTTCCTTTGCTGTGCAAAAACTGTCCAGTTTGATGTAGTCCCATTTGTTTATTTTTTCTTTTGTTTTCCCCACCCAAAGAGACATGCTAAAAAGAAAAAAAATGTCACTAAGAGCAATGTTAGAGAGTTTACTGCCTATGTTTTCTTCAGGAGTTTTATGGTTTAGAGTCTTACATTTAAGTCTTTAATCCATTTTGAGTTTATTCTTGTACATGGCATAAGAAAGTTGTCTATGTTTACATCTATCTGTCCAGTTTTCCCAACAATGCTTATTGAAGAAACTGTCTCTATCCCATTGTATATTCTTGCCTCCTTTGTCATAAATTAAATGACCATATAGGCGTGGATTTATTTCTGGGCTCTCTATTCTGTACCGTTGATCGATGTGTCTGTTTTTATGTCATCACCATGCTGTTTTGATTACTCTAGCCTTGTAGTATAGTTTGAGATCAGGTAGCGTGATACCTCCGAGTTTGTTCATCTTTCTCAAGATTGCTGTGGCTGTTCGGGGTCTTTTGTAGTTTCATATAAATTTTAGGATTATTTGTTCTAGTTCTGTGAAAATGCCATTGGTATTTTGATAGGGATTGCATTGAATCTATAAATTGCTTTGGGTAGTATGGACATTTTAACAATGTCAATTCTTCCTATCCATGAGCATGGTAGATGCTTTCATATATTGTATTATCTTCATTTTCTTTCTTCAACGTCTTATAATTTTCTGAGTACATTTCTTTTACCTCATTGGTTAAGTTTATTCCTATAACTTTTATTTCTTGATACAATTGTAAATGGGATTGTTTTCTTAATTTCTTTTTTGATAGTTCATTATTGGTATAGAAAAATTCAACCAATTTCCGAATATTAATTCACTATCCTGCTATTTTACTGAATTTATTGATCAGTTCTGAAAGTTTTTTGGTGGAATCTTCAGGCTTCTCTATAAATAGTATCATGTTATCTGCAAATAATGACGTTTTAACTTTTTCCTTTCCAATTCAGGTGACTTATTTTTTGTTGTTGTCTGGTTTCTGCGGCTAGCACTTCCAGTACTATGTTGAATAAAAGTGGTGAAAGTGAACATTCTTGTCTTGTTCCTGATCTTAAAGAAAATGCTTTTATATTTTCACCATTGAATATGATATTAGCTGTGGGTTTGTCATATGTGGCCTTTGTGATGTTGAGAGATGTTCCCTCTACTTCCACTTGGCCAAGAGTTTTTATCATAAGTAGATGCTGAATTTTGTCAAATGCTTTATCTGCATCTAGTGATATGATCATAGAATTTTAAACCTTTGTTTTGTTTATGTGGTGTATCACATTAATTGATTTGCGGATGTTGAACCAACCTTGCATCCCAGGAAGAAATCCCACCTGATCACGGTGTATGACCTTTTTAATGTATTTCTGACTTCGGTTTGCTAATATTTTGTATCTGTGTTCATCAGGCATATTGGCCTATAATTTTCTTTTTTTTGCAATGTCTTTATCTGGGTTTGGAATCAGGGTAATGCTGGCCTGTTGTATGTGCATATTTTAATTAACAAAACAATACATTGTAATAAATTTAAAGGAATTAGAAATGTAGGTGGTGAAAAGTGACAATCTTTCTTTTTTGGGTTCTATACACACACACAAAATATTTGTATATTTACATATATACATATATTCATATACACTCTTTAAAAATATGCAAATAGGATCATATATGATACATTTATAATGTTTTATACTTAATGACATATTGTAGACATCCTTTCAAGTATGATTATATAATTGTGCCTCACTTTCCTTACAGCTGCCCATTAGTCCTCTGTAAAAATGTATAGTTTATGTAGTCTCCTACTGATAAAACTTCAGACTGGATTAAACTAGTAAATAATAATAATAATAATAATACTAGTAGATAAAGCTGGATTGAGCATTTGTGTGTGCCAGCCCTACTCTAAGTGCTTCATATTTATTGATTCCTTCATCCTTATGAAAACCCAATAAGGTAGACTTTATATTTATACCCTACTTTATATGAAGACATCTGAGGCGCAGAGAGGTTAAGTAACTGGCCCAAAGTTGCTCATTGAGGAAGTGGCAGAGCAGGGATTCAAATCCAGGCTTCTGGTTCCAGCACATCTGCTTTAAAAAATTTTTAAAAACTTTATTTTCAATTATAGTTAACTTTCAATATTAATTAGTATCAGGTGTTTAGCATAGTGGTTAGGCATTTATATGACTTATGAAGGAATCCCCCGAGAAGTCTTATACCCACTTGACACTGTATATAGTTACTGTAATATCATGGACTATATTCCCTATGCTGTACTCCGTATTCCCGTGACTATTCTATAATTGCCAATCTGTACTTCTTAATCCCTTCACCCGTCTCACCCAGACCCCCACCCCCAATCCTCCCACCCATCTGGCAACCATTAATTTGTTCTTGGCATCTATGAGTTTATTTCTGTTTTGTTTGTTCATTTATTTATTTTTAGATTTCACACGCAAGTGAAATTATACGGTATTTGTCCTTCTCTGTTTGACTTATCTCACTTAGCACAATACCCTCTAGGTCCATCCATGTTCTCGCTAATGGTAAGATTACATTTTTTTTTTATGGCTGAGTAATACTCCATTGTATATATGTGCCACATCTTCTTTATCCATTCTTCTTTTGATCGGAGCATTTAATCCATTTACATTTAAAGTAATTATTCATAGGTATGTAGCTATTGCCATTTTATTGTTTTCGGGTTGTTTTTGTGGTTCTTCTCTGTTCTTTCTTATTCTCTTGCTCTCTTTTATGTTGACAACCTTCTGTAGTGTTGTGTTTGTATTCCTTTCGCTTTATTTCTTGTATATATCTTGTAGGTTTTTGGCTTCTGGTTACCATGTGTTTCATATATACCGAGCTATGTTTATAGCAGCCTATTTTAAGTTGATGGTCGCGTAAGTTTGAACACATTCTAAAATCACTACCATTTTTACTCACCCCCTCCATGTCGATGTTTTTTGTCATTATTTTTTACTTCTTTTGTGTGCAGCCCATCTGCTTTTAAGTTTGTTTGCAATTCAGAATTGCTGCAGTGAAAATCCTTGTACATAAATCTTTATACATTCTCACTAGTGTTTTGAAAGAAATTTCTAGAAGGGGTAGTGCTGAGCCATAGCTTCCCCCTCATTTCAATAAGAATTATGGAGATGTCTAAATGTCCAAGTAGACGTGACATGTAGGAGTGATGAAAGAAGCATGAATATCAAAGCAATGAAGTATGAACATCTCACATACCATGGTGCAATGCCTGACAGTATGGTGGGTATGGTGGGCGTGTCAGCTGCTCTCGGTGGAGTGATTACAACAAAGACAGCTGTGATCCTCTGAGTCTGGGGCTTTGCAGGAACAGGAGGAGGTGACATTTTCCCTGCAGCGGGTAGCCATTCAACCACAGGCCCCCTGGATCAGTGGTAAATAAGGCGCCCTCCACTCTGCCCTGGTTTTTCGGGAAGATTCCAGAGAACACACTTTATGTAATTATAGGACTTTCACGGTGCCAGCGGGCGGCATGGTGGGTGGTGGGTGGAGGTGGCATTGCATTTACTTCATGACATATCAGGACATGACTCTTAGTCTTCCTTCGCTGTCCCTTCTCATGCAGTGACGGAGAGTCGTGGCATTGTGGACAGCCTCCAGAGGTTTTCCTCGCTGCCTGCTTACCTCCCTGCGAGCTTCCACATCACTGACGCAGACGAGTTCTTCTTCCTAAAAGAAGCCAACCAGGACGTCACGAGGAACTCCAGCCTGCAGGCCCGAGTGGAGTCCTTCTTCATCTACCGGGCCAGGAGCCCCCCGCTCATCAATGCCAGCTACGGCCCGTTTGCAGCCGAGAAGACCATTCCGCAGGAGTTCATGCTGACCTCCACAGCCTTTGCAAATATGGCCAAGTTTCCCTTCAGCTGGAAGCTGAAATCGCACATCCTCGACAGCTCCATCTACTCCAACAGGCCCAAGGTGCAGACATTGTTTTACATCACCGGGATGGCCTGGGATGACAGCGACCCTGCGGACAATCTACCGTGTGTCAAGATGTTTGCCTTTCCGGAGGCCAGGGAAGTGGCGGCCAGCTGTCGGCTGCAGGGGGACCCGGGGCTGTGCATGGCTGAGCTGGAGCTGCTGCCCGAGTGGTTCAGCTCCGGGCTGGACCTGGAGCCCGAGGAGGAGATCCCGGCCCTGCTGGGGGGCACGGCCATGGAGCTGTTCTTCACGCTCTACCCGGCTGACCAGGCCGGCCAGTGTCCCCTGGAGGAGGAAGGCAAGTGGGAAAACAACATCCACTCGGGCCAGGAGGGCCCCCAGCAGGCGTCCCCAGCCCGGGAGAGGATCGGGAGTGTGGTGGTCTACCCGACTCAGGACGACCTGAAGTGGTCCCTGGTGAGCCTGGATGAGAACCTCGTCATCTCTGTCCCTCTGAACCTCATCCGGGAAGGGGACACAGCCACCTTTCTGGTGTCTCTGACCAGTGGCTCTGTGGCAGACCACTTCACGCTCAGGTAAGAGGCATTGCCGGGTTGGATGGGATGGAAATCAATTCCTGGTCTTCAATGAACTGTCAGTTGCTAAGTGGGTGTTGATCATATACTGAGTGTCCAGGGTATTAAGGACATGTACACACGTGGAACGGAGACCCACACGAGACAATAGAGCAGACAAAATCAAGCAGAATATTTGGGGATGCGCCTTGGGCATCTGTGTTTTCTGAGACGCCCCCAAGCAGTCCTGTTGTGAAGCCAGGATTAAAAATAACTACTCTGAGAGCAGCATTCCTGGCCGGGAGGTCCTAGGGCTTCCCCTTTAGGAAGGCTTTGGAAGCAGTCACGTGACGGCCCGAGCCTATCACTGCCCCATGATGTGCAATCCCCTGATGCTGCTTGTGCTAGGGGAAAGAAACTTTGTAAATGAATTCCAGTTTGTAAATACATGAAGGAGCTTTCTGAAACACTGTCTCAGGCCTCTTAGATCGTTGTTTTTTCAGTCAGGAAAGAATCCTTTGATAAAGCAAACTGGTCTCTATTTGCATGTTGAAGACTCGGTTTAGGATTGCAGAAAGTGGGGGACTTCTCTGGGCTAGGGAGACAAACCTGTCTTTAGCTTATTTTAAACATTCCTGGATAGCAGTAGGATAGAGCAGTGACTTCCCCACATTCCAGCTGTGTGCTCTGGGGCAAGTCACCTAACCTCTCTGGGCCTCCCTTTCCTCAGTGGCAAGTTTCCTGCTGGGGTTGTTGTGAGGTTTAATCAAGTCAAGAAAGTTCTTGGGACACTGCCTGGTGTGCGAGCGTCCCCACTGAACGTCGGCCCGTGGTGGTTTTCCCCAGTGCTCAGAGGCCGGGGTGGTGGATGGATAAATCGCAGTGTAGTGGGGCTGGTTTTGCTGGGTGCACGTGACAAGTGGGAAACGGCCCTTCTGATTGTGACCGAGGCTGATGTGCCAGATGTTTGGAGGTATGCTTGTTCAGAGCCCGCCAACAGGACCCTGCAGCTCTGGCCGATCCCACGTGGGCTTAGGAGCCTGCAGGAAGCACGTTCCTATTTGGGAACCCCTGAGTAACCCTTGGTGTCACTGAGTCAGAACTTGGTGTGGTCCCAGCCCCGTGCTAGTCACTCCAGTGTGTAAAACCAGTTCTCTCTCTGTAGAGATTCTTCCAACACAAAGCAATGTTAGATTCTTGTTATAGATCGAGAATGGCAAAGGGATGGTTTCCATGCTTCTGCCACTGGGTGCGCCCTCTGCCAAGGCAGACATGACTAATCAACCATAGCACTTGAGCACGCCCTGTGCCAGGGCAGGCATTACTAATTTACTACAGTACTGAGCTCATGACTCCTGGCAGCCCCTACTAATCCATGTGCAGGGGAGGGGTTGACACTTAACACTAGACTTATTTGTCATCCCTGGTAGAGAGAGAACATTATTGGGTGAGAAGTTGGAGGAAAGGCAGGATAGATAGCCTGGTGGTCAGAGAAACCTTGGATCCTGGTTGGGAACAGCATCGCAGGCTGGGGAAATGGCATGAAATGCACTGGATAACTTTCACAGAGGACTTAGAATGGCCCGGGCCACATTCCAAGTTCCTCACATGAGTTAACTCACTGAACTCTGCAGAGAGGTTAACTGGTGACCATAGCTAAATCTAGCCCACAGATTGTTTTATTTTAATTTTTTTTTTTTAGCTCATATGGCATTCCTTAAAATATCTAAGGGTTTGATAAATCTCCAGTAATAGGGAGATCTCACCTACCATTTCCTTAGCCAGTTTTGAGATTTGGTACCTTGGCAACAGTGGGCTGTAGTTAATGAGTATCATTAGATGCACTGTCACCCCAGTCCCCACCACTCCCTATTGTCTCCCACCTGGCCCATTTCACTCACTTATTATTAATTTTTTATACGGCCTTTGTTATGTTTCCTCTATTCCCAATTTGTTATAAATGGATGCTGGATTTTGTCAGATGCTTTTCCTGCATCTATTGATATGATCCTGTGATTTTTATCCTTCATTTTGTTTATGTGGCTAATTGATTTGCAGGTATTGAACCAACCTTGCATCCCAGGAATAAATCCCATTTGATCATGATGTATGATCTTTTCAATGTGTTGCTAAATTCTGTTTGCTAATATTGTCACTCACTGATATTAGTATTTAGTGAGTTAGTTACTTCATGTAGCACTTAGGAGAGTGTGGGTGTTCAGTATAGGCGTTCAGTAGGTGCTAATTGATACTATTATTTACTATAATTGATGCTATTATTACTACTATTATGTGTGAATTAATACTATGAATTCATACTTTTTAATTTTGGGGTGTGCTTGTGCTAAGTTCAGTGTTAACCCTTTATATAAGTTCTCTCGTTGTATTGTCACAGGCACCATACACATTATTATTCATATCCATTTCATGGATGTGGAAACGGAGACTCAAAGAGGTTCGGGGTTACCTGTCTGAAGGCATGCAGTGGGAAGTGATGGAATTGGGGTGTGGGTCTGCATATGCGAGTCGAGAGCTCCTTTTCAAAACCCCTCTTCTGGGTTGTCCTGTCTGTCCAGGTGGAGGGAGGCGGGACCTGTTGAAACTTCCTGGGTCAGCATCTAGAGTTTCTGATATTCCTAGATATGACTGTTATTTATTATGCTTTATTTTTATGGCCACAGAAAATGCACTGAGATTTTGGAAATCAGTGAAGATCACCTAGATGAGAACAAACATAGGCTTGTTATTCAGAGCTGGCTCTGGCGAGGGAGTCAGCCACCCTCACCTGTGCTTGGTGGAGGCTTGGAGGCAGGTTAACGAGAAACGAACCTCTTATGTGATGGGCTTGGGTATGTAGTTCCCTTTTTCTGGTTGGCTGAGTTGGGAGCGGAGGCAACAAAAAAAGAGAAGCTGGCAGTCATGGACCAAGTTCAGACCTTTCTGGGCCAATGGCTGCAGAGGTTGTGGTTTGCCTGGTTGCTGGAAGGTAGTGGGTCAGAGTTCTCTTGTTGTATACGGTCTGGCTATTGTCCGTTTGTAGATTCAATCTCTCAAAATAAAATAGTGTTATTAAGCCTCGGGAAATGTGTTATTTCCCAGCATAACTGATTGTCTGTTTTAATCATGTCTTTCGTGAATGAAATGTGACATATTTCATGCTGGCTCAGATGTGGCCCCAGACCAAAGCGTGAATGTGTGCAAGCACGGCTGAGATCTAATTTCCGAGCTGAAGACGTGTGGAAAGGGGACAGATGTGTGCAATTTTCGTGTGTCACGTTGCTCTTTCGGACTGCATATTGTGGAGGGGCCAGTCTGAACAAAAGTCGCATTGATTACTCTCTTATATTTAAATAGAGTCTGCTTACACATCGGTATCTAAATCTGACCATATATTGACAAGCCTTTTAGCAAAAGGTTGTGAAGTGGGGTCTGTGTCGGGGGCTGCAGGCAGGGCAGTGCTGGGTCTGCCTAGCATTGAGGTAGATCTTGGTTACACTTCCAGGAAAGTCTGAACTATGCAATTTTCCAGGGACGTTTGAACTATGGAATTTCCTCCATAGTTCAAATATAATGTGTCTGAGGCTGAGAGAGATTCTTGGGAAACTTTATCCTGCCTCTGCCACTTAGCAGCTGTGTGACCTTGGGCAGTTACTTCCCCTCTAGGTGCCACAGTTTCCTCATCTGTAATTTGGGACTGTTTGTGCTTTAAGTGACAATGAATTGTCAACTTGGTGGTCAGCTGGATTTTCTCTTTCATTGGGTAGCCACCCCATCCTTTTGGTGACCCAGGCCAAACACCTGATAACTGTGACTGCCTCTCCCCGTTCTCTGATACCCCGCACTGAGGTGGCAGCAAACCCTGGGGCTCTTTCTTTCAACGGTCCAGAGGGAACTACCCCATTGCTGTGACCTAGCTCTGAGCCAGGGTCCCCTCATGGCTGGACACCCACAGGAGCCTCCTGACAGGCCGCTCTGCCTCCGCCTTTGCAAAGAACTCTTGGGCCTGCACGCCCTGCGTGACCTGCCTTGTCACCTCCTTGGGCTTGTTGCCTGTGACTCCCCACCTCACTCCCTCACCAGCAGCCCCAGTATTTTAAAGGGCCCCTCCCCTTCTCTGTTGAACACTGGACTCCACCCCACCGTCTCTGTCCTGCTCTGACTTTTGTGTCACACCCCATCGTGTAGATTAATGACATGATATATCATTGTTTATGGCCCGCCTCTTCCTGCTAGAACGTGAGGTCCGAGAGGGTGGGGACTTCTGTCTCCTTCGTTGTTTGATGGGGCCTAAGGCTCTGGAACAGCATCTGGCACATAGTAGGTGCACAATAAGTATTTGTTGGATGAGCGAGTGAATTTGGAAGTATTGTAAAGCATTGTGACTTGTCAAGACTGTGAATTCATGATGCCAGTAAATAAGTTTCATAAATATTGAAGGCGAGGACACTGGGGCATCTAGTCCTGGCAACTGTGTCCTCCTGCCTGTAACGTAAGAAGCGATTCATCATTTGGAATCAGACAGTGGGCTGTCAGTGTATCCTAACCCTCAGTAATTCACACACCACCTTCAGGATTTTTTTTTCTTTTTGGTCATATCAGATGCCACCGTGTCCTGCCTTCATAAGTTGTCATACCCACATGCAGAAAGGACAGAGTCACGACTCCGACCAGGCCTGTCCACCAAAGTCCCCGCTGGCCTCACGGTCCCTCATTTCGAATGCTAAGAATCCCAAAGCTTACTTTCACACTTACACAAATAGCAACCTGTTTGAGGACTGTTCCTCTGGTGGAGCCAGAAATCCAGGCTTGATTAATTTTTTTCCCAAATAAAAGTCAGATTTCCCCTGAGGAAGCTGTGCAGATGCTCCAAAACCTGCAGCCTTGCGGCCCAGGTCAAGTCCACAGCGTATGGCTCAGATTGTGGCAGAGCTTGGAAAGGAAGGCCGGCGATTATTTTCAGAACAAACCATAGCCTGCACAGCATATGGAGCTGGTTTCAAATGTTATCCGCTGTGTTTAAT